TCCTGGCTGCTTGGACGGTATGGCTTCTGAGACCCCTTCTAGGTTACCACTGATTCTATGGATGTAAAATCATAAGCTAACTGTCTTCCTATATCATTGTCGTTATAAAAAGAGACTAAAATGTTAAGTGACTGTAATTATAGCTGCAGACGCCTAGCTTTCAAGGGCTTCCAAAATACTGCTCCGCCCTATCTACCTTACTTGTCTTTACTTATCCTGCTGCCAGGGAAATTCCAGCTTCCTTCTTTATTATTGAACATTTCCACATTCCCCCTTCCCGTGTGTCGTGTTCTCCTGCACACTACAATAGAAATCTTTATCTCTACTTTCCACCAGGCGGACCCTACCCAAACCTCAAATCCCCTTCCTTAAGAATGACCTGTGGTTGGCCCTAGTGTAGTAATCTCTCCTCCTCTGAGCTTTACGTGCTCTTTCTACAGAATCAAAATTTGTACTTCATTATATATTATGTGTCGCACTATGCAATGTATTCTCTCTCTGTGTGTGTATAACAAACTATTATTTGCTAATCTATTCATGTATGTGCCTGGCTTCTCTGACTATAGCACTCTCTGAAAGCTCACAGAATTAATGCCTCATGTACTTTATCAATTTAGTACAGTGCTTGGCACAGAGCTGGTTTCAAATAGGCCCTTACCAACTGACTGACTAATCAATTAGCAAAATGGAAAATCCAGCCAGCATGCTCAAGCTTTGTCTATTGGAAATTACTTTCCTAAAAAGCATTTTTCCTTCCTTTACAGATCAATTGCAAAGTCAAAATTCAAACACTGCAGATTTCATAAACAGGAATAGCTGGTAAGTATTGGGCTTTACAAATAATGAATGTGCACATCAAAACCAAAGTTGCAGATGTTTGTAAAAGTATACACATGCGGCTTATATGAGCAGAGATGCCTAAAAACCCTCGCATCCCAGCCCAAGTGAAGAGTATAAGTTGACCCTGACAGAGTCCAAGCTGACCCTGATAGAGAACAGCATAGCTGCATGGTTTCCAAATCACCAGAGTATTTCTGGAGTGTAGTCTAGCTTTGCCAATTGCAAAGGAACTACATATTTATTTTGGCGAAGCTCTCTTGTTTGCTGATCCATCAGACATTTACAGCATCTATAAATGAAGGCAACGAAGTCTGTTTCATCAGGAGATAAGCCTACACGTTACACATCGCTGTAGTTGATAGCTCAGTAAGGAATGGAAATAAGAGCAATCTTTTCACCGTACTTATTAGGGATTCTAATCCTGCTTTCTTTACAGAAGGCTAATACTGAAAATAAGTATGGCTAGTCTATGCTAATCAATTATAAGTATCTTATAGGTTTGATTAGGCCTCTTTAGAATTAAGATCAAAAGGCAAAAGTTCAAATCACTTATAGCATAAGGCAGTAGACTGTAATTCCTTATAATATAAAATATATACCTGGCACATAGCATTATTTTTCTAGAATAATAATGTTTACTCTAATTGGGGGCTTACTACCTGTCAGAGACTGTTCTTAGCACTTTAGATACATTAGGTTATTCAGTTTTCAGAAGAGTCCAGTGTTGTAGGTAAAATTGTCATCTCCATTCCATGTATGAGCAAACTGAGATACAGAGAGTTTAAATAATTTTCCCAAGGGTGAGTGGAGAGTTCAGAGGCATAAAGATTTAAGCTGAATCTGGCTCCAGAACTGATGTTCTTAACCACTATACTATACAACCTCTAAACAATTTGTAGGCTCTAATTGTGAGGTATGTGAAATGGTGAAAAGGACATGTGTTTCACATTCGCCTAAGACTGGCTTAAATCTCAACTCTGCAATTTACTAGCTGTGTGGCCTTGGATAAATTATTTAACATCTCTGAACATTGTGTTTTCCAACCCCATTGTGAGGATTTTGTAAATCTGTTGTATTTGCAATGGTTTGTATAATTCACTGAGCCAAAAAATAGGCCCAAATTTAATATCTTATAGTATCTGCATAATCCTCTATTATTTCATGGTAAATTATTGAATGAGTTTCAAATAAATGGAAGTACTTTTGGCCATAGTTCTTTGGGAAAAGACAATGTTGTAGCTAATGATATCATTTCAACCTTAATAGTACTCTTATCAGAATTATTACAAAATTCTGATACTTAACTTGTCAATTAAGAGGGTTAAATTCAAGGTAAGAGCTAACTTTACTTCATTTCATATTATTGAGAAATTCATTTCTTAACAGCTAAGTAAAAAAAAAAAAATCTAACTCACTGAACTTCTTTCTAGTTGTATCATCAGTAAAATGCATGATAAATTTTGTTGAGCAAAATTTTATCGGCTTGAAAGTTATGCATGTCTTTTCAAAATCAGCTATAAATATTGATCTTATCCCCATTCCCTCGAGAAGTCAATAGCAATGTTTGAATTTCTTGTTTGTTTTTCCCTCTTGTAACAACTTCACATCTAATGAAGACCAATTTCCAAAGATGAGCCCCAGGGAGTTAATAATCTATCAGATACAACTACCTAAAAGAGAATATAGTTCTTTAAGTGGGAATAATACCTGGCTTTATGTAGCAAGGATGACTAAGCGGGGCAAAAGAAAGTACTCAGCACTGAGGAAAAAGAATGAGACATCCACTGGTCTTTGCTTGCACAGCTATTGTCCCAGCCCCCAGCCTAAAATGATCCTTCCATAAAGAACCTCCTCCAGGGCCCAAACCACGATGCTTACTCTCTACATTTCAAAGCTCCTTTTATGCCACCGGACACCACAGCCAACAATCTTAGTTTCTCTAGCTTCTAGGAGCTCTTCCTCAAATAGCACAGGCATACCCATGCCTGGGCCAAAATAGGGCTCCGAGGCTTATTTTGAGGCAATGTGGTAAGGACAGTTCCTCAGTCATTTGGCACAACAGAGGCAGAGATATGGATTTAAACCTTTGTTCTTTCTCACCTTTCAGCAGCCTTAGGACCTCTAGGAGCCTCCACGACTTTATCTTATTTAGAGGATTATGTGATCTCTATATCTAAAACACCTATACAGTATATACTAGACAATAAATGGTACGTTTTAGTAATTTTTTATTTTACAAGCATTGTTATGTGTTGAGATATTTTGATCCAGAGCTGTTTCAGTGTACCCTTTGGTAAAGAAAGGGAACTAAATGAAGTAGAATTACTGCATCTCAGATTTTCAGATAAGTCGCAGGGAACTTTGACAGCCTCGCAGACTGTGGTGAAAGAGATCCATCAGGTATCACTAGACACACAGGGGAATGATGAAGAGAAGGGTGGGAATCACAAAGGGTCTCAAATTCAAACGTTTGATTCTCTGTTCAAAAGAGATTATACACAGTCTCAGAAATACGCTAACAGGATTAAAAGAAAACATTTATCACAAAGTCTTAAATTTGTGTTTTGTTACCTATGACTATATTTCCTAAAGTGCACTATGAATTGGTATTTTTCATAACTCTTCTAATTAGCAGGTGAACAGATCAATAATACTGCATTGTACTTTTGGTCTTAAGAGCATAATTTTTTAAATGCAAATGTTTATGATACAGGAGGATCGGACAGTCCTATTTTGCATGTCTTCATCTGTTAATAGACTGGGATCCTTGCATCACAAAGTGGCTTAAGCCTCTCTTTACTCAAAAAGGTTCTGCCACAGTGGAAATAAATTCATTGATTACCTATTGTGATAAAATATATGGTTTTACTGTGATAGTCAATCCATATTTAATAGTAATGATGATAGGAATTCACCTCTATTGATATTGTACTAAGTAAGCACTATATAAAGTACTTTTAAAAGCATTGCCTCATTGAATCAACAATCATATGAGATAGGTACTATTATTTGTTTCATTTCACACATAAAAAAACAGAAGCTTAGAGGAGTTAAATCACTACCCAAGTAGGTGGCACAGTTAGTGCTTGAACCTCACAAACTCTGAAGCCCAGGCTCCTCCCCATAACACTCTGGTGTCTTACGTAGACTCACATCCAGGCTGCTTTCATTGGCTTTTTTGTTGTTGTTTTTACTCCATTTACTATTCCAAATTAATTTTATGCTTTTAAATACACAATTCTGAAAACAGCTTTTTGTTCCATGAGGTTATTTTTCGAGGGTCCTTAAAACTAACAAGCTCTTCACTTCCCCTTTAAGACAACTCCTCTCTTCCTATTTCCCTGGCACAGCACAGCTCCTCAGTTCGGTCCAGTTAACAGTGAAAACGGCTTCCTTTTCACTTACTCTGCTTTTCTCTCTCAAGCTCTTTCCCAAGCGTCTTCCCAATGGGATCCCAGCTGCCTCAGGCCCCCACCTACCCTCCTGTGCTCCTAGGTCTGGGTGTACTGGATCCTACAGGCATCTGCATCCCCACTTATCCTGACTACTGTGGTTACAAGGGGCCTCTTTTGAATGCAGACAGCCAGTCAGCCAAGTCGAAATTTATACCAGAAATCTATTACCTAATTTTTAAACAAAATGACATGAAATCAGACTTGAAGATATCAAAAACATGTCTAGTTTTTGATTTAAGCAAGAAAATCCACATTGTTACTGTTTCCACCACAGAATAATTTACTGCAACAGGAGTTCTGGATCTCATGCCAGAAATGAGGTCCTCTAACCAATGTCAAGGCCAATTATCTTGTGGTGAATCCCACAACAAAAGCAGACTATTGTGATTAGAGTCAGAAGCACCACCCAGAGAAGTTGGAAAGCTTCTGGGGATTTCTTATGTTCAGTTTTTATTTTTTCTCCCTGTGTGTCTGCTGAAATAAACTACCAGAAACTTTGTGTGTGGGCACCAAGCATCTTAGGTTAGTTGGGGGACAATGACAGGGGTGATCAGTTGGGAGTGACCTGCCGCAGGTCTGGGTGTGAGCAGGAGCCATGCTGCAAGGCTGTGAACTGCCTCCCTCCCCTAACAAGCTGCCAGGAGCCAACCTGCGGTTTCTTGATGGGGCGGGAAAGCCCAGGTGGTTGAACTCAGAAGCACTTACCCCACGGTAAAGAACTGCCTCATCTCCTGTCTCCGAGACCTCATCAGTTGCTTATACTCCCCGATCCGGAGCTTTTTGCCATCAACAATGCAGGTGCGCTTCGGCCGGGGTTTGTATTTATAGTTCGGGTACTTCTCTAAGTGGATTTTGCTTAGCCGGGCCTGCTCTTCATAATAAGGTTGCTTCTCTTGGTTGGACATGGATTTCCAGCGAGACCCTGGACATAAAAATAGCCTTAAGTACCCAAGTGGTGAAGGCAACACATTCCTGGCAAATAGAGCGAGGCATACCTTCCCAGGGCTTCATTGACCTGTGCTCTGAGCGGCTCCTATTACTATGTACCACTGAGCCTCACAACTGGTCTTTCAGACTACAGAGCAAAGAATTATTTTGTATGTGATACATTTATTATATTATTTCTCTCAATACTTTAAAGCTGGCGTTACACCAAGTGTAGTGTTTTAAAACGTGTCTTTGCTGCTTAAAGACCACCTCCCACCTCAAAGCCCCACGTATCTGCCCATCTCTCTTAAGAGGGTGAAAAAACTAATCTTTCCTAAGCATCCGTTCAGTGTGACAGGATTCTCAGGAAGGGCTTTCTTGGTTCCAGAAATTCAAACATCTCTCTCTCTCCAAGCATCTTTAGTAAAGCTCTCCTTTGAGAAGATGTCAGCAGACAGGACATCCTTCAATATATAAAAAACTACTGTGACACTGACTCCCCTGGCCTAGGGTAACTGAAAAGCCTCGGCTCTATTTAGGAAGTTACAGCGTTGGAGCCGGAAGGTACCGTTGGGATTATATACACCATTTCAAGTACTATAAACGCCCATTCAAAGCTGTACCAATGAAAGCACGAAATTTTTTAATATGGTTTATACAGGAAGGAGGAAAAGTATTCACTCCTCTAATATTGTTTATAAAGAATTATCTAAACACTTGACGAAGAAGAGATGGGTTTTTTTACATGTATCAAATTGCATTTTTGTGTCTCGCTGGCGAATAAAGCGGTAACAGCTGTGCTGACTGGATGGGAGCTATTCTTCAGTGGAGAGTTTTCATACATAAACAAATGGAAAAGTTGTACAAATACTCTCTGTAGCCAGCACTATCCTGGCCGCCGCACCGCCGCATCTCCCCGCTCTCTCCCGAGCGTGCGGGGGCCGCGGAGAAGGCCGGGCAGAGAGGCTCCTCCATGTCCCGCTGGCGCCACAGCCCAGGGCCCCAGGAACAGAGGATGCTTGGTGCTCCTGTGCTTAACAGTTTGCCTTTTAATGAATACACTTACTATATTCTTAATAATTTTTTCACAGAATGCACACTAATAATATAGATTCCTCACAGCTGCCAAAATGGAAACAGAGAAGTTCTGTGCCCATCTGGGAGCTTACTCACACTGCTACTAAAATGAAAAAAAAAAAAAAAAAAAGAAAAGAAAAGAAAGAAAATTTTCAGTTAGATATAAAACTTTAAGAACAGAGAAATATCAGGTTTCTTTTGAGTGTCCATTAATTAGAAAAATTTAATACATGCATTGGGAGCATTAGTCTTGAAAGGTATTTAAATTAGAAGGAGTAATACCCCTATGCATGTCTTTGAAACTCTAAAAATAAACTTAATTGTAATGACATTTACTATCCATTGCAAAATTCAAACGTCAAAATGGAAAAAAAAAAAGAGGGGAAATTTGTATTTTAACATTTCACCACTATTTGATCTCATGTATGTTTTAAATTTTCTCAGAGGTCACTGCCTCAAAATGTCTCTGAATCAAGTTAAATTATTTATACAGTGACAAAATGTGTATTTGTGTGTGTCCAGATCACTGATATTCACTCAGGTTAAATATTTATTGCTTTTGAACAAAACATTTAAAAAATGAAAACCACAGTTTAAGTCTCTAATGCTTTTCGGCTTCTTTACCGGCTCCCTTTGAGATTTTGTCACATCCTGACAGCTTAAATAGAACAGTGCCGTCTGTGTTTTTTCTTTTTAAAGAGGAAACATGTTGACTGTAATGCTGCGTGTTGAATAAAATATGTTCAATATGTTGAGCACAATAATTCCAAACTGTATAATCCGCACTAGGCGAGCTTTACACTAATAGAACAAGGCTTGAGTTTAATCCCGAGGAACGGGAGGATCACTCAGCAATTCACCGCAAAACGGGCCTCTGCCCTGTGGTCTAATGTGCTCAGCTCGCTGCTATGAAATTTGAACCAGTCACATCTTATTAAAGTAAATGTAGTTTTATTTTACAACGTCTAAAGTTATCATTAGAGGCACTGCTCTCCACTCCATGAACTTCACACTATTTGGGCGCTCACCCCCAAGCCCTCGATGAGTTCTTTCAGAAGGACATGTGAACCCAAGAATACTGGAGCAGAAAACTGCAGGCTCTATTGTTCCCCAGGTTTTGCAGCAACTTGGGAATTTAAGAAGACTGAGAAAGAAAGGGCGGTCAAGCTTGTCCCTGTGATTGCTGTGTAGCAGTGACCTCTCAGGGTTGCTTAATTCACAGTATTAACACATCCTATAAATAGTTTTGTCTCTAAAAGAAGTTTTTAGTCAGTCCTGCCCTGGCACCTTGTGGATGTAATAACTCCCAAAGCTAAATGCCACACTCTGGGGCAGGGGACACAGAAGTGGTGACAAAGTCTCCCATAGCAGCTTGCTGGGCTTTATCTAACTTGTGCAAACCACAGTCTCCCTTAGGTTTTGCAGGGTGCCCCCTGCTTTCCACTCTCGGGACACTCATGGGGTAGAAGGTCGGCCTCGGTGGCTGCACTCACCTAAAATTTTGCTAATGTTGGAGTTATGCATGTCAGGGAAGGCCTGAAGGATTTTCCTTCTCTCGTCCTTCGCCCAAACCATGAATGCATTCATTGGTCGCTTGATGTGTGGCTCGCTGCTGGCCCGGCCGCGGGCATCCCTGTAGACTCGTGCTTCAGCCACAGTGGCGCCTCCTGTTGGCCAACAATAATACTGCTGTAGTTTAGCTGCAGAGCCATTCATTGCTTTACTTCCTGTAATGTCAGGGCAGGAAGAACAAGACGGGTGCAGAGCATTATTATCTGGATCATGTAACGCAGACCGCCACCTGGTTCAGCTGCTTTCCCTAGGCCCCTCACTTACCAAGAGGTAAGTGACCTCTTGGAAGCAGAAGACGGTTTCAAATGACAATTCTACAGGCCCTTCTGACATAGGCCTTGAAGACACATCAGGCAGAATTAATGTTGCATGTTTTTATACACCTCATACATTTTTTTAAAACAATCCATTGCAGGTGATGATGAAGCAATGACTGGCTTTGTTTTATGCTAAAATTTCCTGCTGACATTCCTCTCTTTAAGAGCAGGCCCTCACCTATCATTTTAGCCTCATTTACCAGAAATTACAGCCATTTCCAACTGTCTCTTCCCTCAAATAGAATTCTCTTTCACAATATTGCACCTTGGCCAGTGCTCTTCTCGGTGCCTGAGAGGAAGCCCTTCTCCTACCCCTTCACACGAAATCCAACCCATCCTTCAAGGCCTATTCAAATGTAGCATGTTTCATGAATCAATTAATTCCATAAAAATATTAATTGAGCAATTACTACGAGTTAGGCTTTATGCCAGGTGCTAGGGATACAAAGGTGAATAAAACAGCCCCTGCTTTTAAGTAGCTCACAGTTAGAGGGGAAACAGACCCCAGAAGACAACTGTCTCAGCGTGCATAGTAAGTGCTCGTAATGTTGCAGTAAACAGGGTTCCAAGAGGGCACCAGACAGGACAGTCAGCTAACGCCTCCCAGGAGAGAGCATGTCTAAGCTGAGTGTGGAGGATGAGTGGAGTGAGCATGTGAACAGGGGAGGGTGCCTAAGGCAGGTGGGAAGGCTGCAGGCACAGCCTCTGCAATGATGCTCCCCGGGCTGTGTTCACATTGTTTCTCTTACGCTACATGCTCCAAATCGATTACTTGGTTATGTGATTATCTCTCTCTCATTTTTCTACTCCATCCCCAGGAATATGAGATCCCGAAAGCTGGTGTTCATGCTATATTCATTCTTGTTTCCCCAGGATTTCCCACATAGTAGATGCTCAATAAATGCATATAATGTAAAAGATTATTTGGTTTTCAACTCATATGTGAAAGTAGTAGGCTAAAAGGCATGTATTTCAAGGGTCCTGATATATTTTCCTGCTGTTTAAGGGTAGTTCTTTAACATCTCCCTACAAAACTACGTCTAAATTCCTGATATTATTTTATAGTTTCTGAAAACATGACTTTAGTAATGTACTAGATTGAAGGCTCCTTGAGGATATTGGTAGGAACTGACTCCTCTTCACTGCCACATCCGTAGGTCCTAGTAAAGCACTTGGCATGTAGAGTTTCAATCAGTAAAATATGTTAAATTAGTGAATGATTGAATAAATCAACTGAGTGACTGAACATAGCTCCTGCTTGTTTCCATGCACCAGCACGACACACTGATGCATGCTTTACGATGTGGCAACTACGAAATATCTCCCTGTAGACTGAAAACTTCTCTAGTTAAAGGTAATGCTGGATAGACGGCAAGCCAGGGCTTCCACTACATACGGCAGAAAGTCCACTCCCAAAGGCTTAGAAGCAAAACATACATTAAAACCAACATTTCTACTTTTTGGAAAAAGTAAATCCTTTCAGCTCAGTGGAGTGATTACACAGGAACAACAATCTCTGGTCCGTCTACTCTATTTCCAGATGCCCTGATTGTGTAGAAATTCATTTGTGTCAGAGATAGGGATAAATTAGAACATTAAAGTGCACTATTATTTGGCAAATATGGCCATCATTTGTTGCAAACAAAAGACAGGATAAAAAGGCTGAACTGGATGATAGTGTTAATTCTTTTCCAAACATGAAGGAGGGCAGAGGGGCCACTTTCTGAAGACCATGCAAAAATAACAAATTTTATAAACAGGCTTTCATTTAGGACAACTAGACAGAATGATCCCTTACATGAAAAGACTCAGATCCCAAGATGCATAACTAATATGCTACCTTTTTGCCACCATACCCACAGTACATTAATTTCATTTAAAATGCACTGACCATACAGGATAAATTGATTTCACTTTATATGGGTTTGACAGCCATGTTTATTGTGCAGTGAAATGTAGTGTAGCTTCCAGCTGACAATATCCATCAACACAGGGCAATATGCTGACTGCTGGGCCAGATGAAGGCATACATTACTCTGGAAATGAAACACTCATTCAGATACGGCAGTGTCTTCTCCTGAGGATCACCGCAGTAATTTATGATGCCCTCAGTGCCATTACTTTACAACTGACATGGATTCAGCAATTTATATACTTGCATGCATACACATAAAAGAAGACAGGCTTGGGGAGAACGCCATATGCAAAAACATTTCAATATTATTCTAAGTTGGCTACTATGCCACAGGTGATTAACGTTGGAGATCTGCTCTTATTGTCATAGCTTCCTCTCCACCTCTAACAAAACCAAATAGCCAGCTGCCATTTACCTATTCATTCAAAAGATGCATTTTCATTGTACATAGGATGTTCTAATCCTACAGGCTAACAGGGGTCATGGCGGATTTTTAGATTCTGGCTTCAGAAGATCTTCTATTCTGTACCAGCTGATTCTACCGGATATGCCACACACATGCACATCTCCCCCCGTCCATTCCCCAGCCTGGCATACCCCTCTCACCCTCTCCTGTCCCACAACCTGTACCTTCTTCCCAGGAAGAGGGCTCAGGTCCTCCCTCCTGCCCTCCTTGTCCTTTCTCCCAGAGAGCATACTGTCTCCTGACACCGACATGGGATTAATCACATGGTAGACTCTAGGACTCACAAAGAATGCTCCCGGAAATTAAGGAATTCAAGCATATACAGAGTATAAAAATACAAATTAAGGGAAGAGCAACAGAAAATGCTACAGGCCATGCAAACTTCTCTTTTCTCTTGCCTCCTCTTCTCTCTTCCAAGAGGAGTCAACTGAAAAAAGAACGGGGGCATTCTAAGCAAAACTCGGAATGAACCAAGATTTGGAAAGAAGAAGAGACTTATCCAGGGAGACTGAGGTCTGAAACCATTTTTAAACTGGATATGATATCTGATCAGGGTCTGAATTTTAAGAAAGTAGTAGGAGGCTACAAAATCAAAATAGTTAGAAAGTGTCCTTTAATTTCCCCAAACTTTGCTTTATGAAACAAAATGGTTTGGAAATAAATGTTGCAACAGTAGAAGTACATCTGCCTGGGCATGGGTGTTAAATTCAGAATTAAAAAATGGAGATTGTGTGTTGGGAAAGCCCTTTCAAATGGATAGGGAAAATTCTATAAAAAACTATAAAATTGTTTTCAAAAGTCTGAATATTAGTCTGAATATTTGAAGCCTAAAATCCACTTTCTGTTCTAAATTAACTTTAAAATCTACATATCAAGTGTGACTTCATACTGCTTCATTCATTTTTGAAAATAGCATCAAGTTGAAAAGAAAAAGCTACTTTATCCTAAAATAGCCAGTGCTCTGTGTCAGAATCCAGAATTGTCCTAGGGAATGTCTCACAGTTCTATGAGGCGGCTTCTTTTACTTTAAACAGCAGAGGAATCATTTGTGAGTTCACTCTTCATGATATGTCTTCTCATGAAAAGCAGTTGGAAGAAGCCTAGGACCACAGCTATGTACCTGAAGACTACTGCTTTCCAGCTGCCCCACGTCTTTGACTATCAGCAAAAGCATTCCTAAATGACAGTTACTGGAGGGCAGGAGGTCAACACTAGGCACCCTGGTCCCCTGGACTCCAATAATTCCCATTCTCTGCAGCTTCGCCGAGGGGGCTTGGCTGGCTTAATTCATCCTTCACCTCCCATATCACAGTTTGTGTAAAGGCAAACTTTCAGTTAGATAAAGAAAGATAGTGTATGGAGATGAAACAGAAATTGCAAAGGCAAAGGCTTCCTTAGGAATTTGTGATTTAAATGATTTAAAGAGGAGACAGAAAGTTGAGTTTTTCCAGGTGGGTTGGAAAGAGGGCCAGTTTACCCATCATGGCCTGTGGCAATGGTCCTAAACTAACCCTGGAGAGGCCTCCTTCCTGGGTAAATTCCAAGAGTTATGTGAGTGAATGAGTGTTTGGTGTGTGTTTTGTATACACAAAGTTCTCACTAAGGAGGAACTCTGGCTAATTCTATAAAGTGCCTGGTAATCATTTATCTATTCAGCAAACACTCCTGACATATTTTAGGTGTACCCAGCATTGTGATCGGGTAGACAAAGAATAATAACACACGTGCCTTGTTTTTAAGGTATTTGGCCCAGTGACAGAAACAGACACATAAAGAGAAAATTATAAAACAGTGTAAGTACTAACAAAGGTGATTTAAAAATACTATAACAGTAGAGAAGTGAAGCTATTAATGTTATTGGGATGGACAGAGACACATATCAGGAAGGCTTCAGGGAGGAAGTGGTGCTTGAAAGCATCTTGAAGGAAGAGTGAGGCGTTACCAGCAGGCGTGTGAACATTCCAGGCTGGAGAATCAGGATGAAGGAAGGCACAGAGTTATAGCAAAAGCAAAGCAGGCGTTAGGGAATAGAAAGAAGCTGTTCTGGCTTGGACTTAGAGAAAAAAAATAGGAGAATTCTAAGAGATGAAATTAGAGAAGTAAGCAGGGACCAGATTGCTAAATACCTTTGAATGCCAGGCCAAGAATTCTTTAAGGTAATTAAGCAGGGTAGTGACACGAACAAATATGTCCTAGAAGAGGTCGAAATGGAAACTTAGAGAGAGATTACCATTGAATAGTCTTAATGATTACTAGTGAATCGATAATAAATATTAGAGAAAAATAAGGTGAATAAATACCTCCTCATAAGCCCACTGAAACACATTTTGTCAGACAGAATGTGATCTATGCAAAATATTGGCACAAAAGGCTCTCTTCTGGGATCTAGTTCGGGTAATGGCAGAATAGCTTATATCAGACTAACCCTCGAGAAGATAGTAATTACAGACTCTGGGG